GTACAGGGCTCACTGAAGCCTGATGCTGCTTCTTTGAGTGAATTTAGGTAAATCTAAAACATGGGCCAAAACAAGTCATTGTTACGGAAAAGCCACTGGAAACAGCTTGTTTGGGCTCAGAAGCTGGGTGGGGCAGAGTCTGAGGGAATCATCAGGGTGGAGCAAACAGAGATAGCCAGGTTGATGGAGTCTCAGTTATGATGCCCGCCTGTCATCTCTGTGGCTGGTGAGGGGAGGGCTCAGAAAAGGAACATTTGCCTCTGCCAGCATATCTGTTTGGAAGAAAGCTGCCCCTTAGCTCTGGCCCTGATGCTGGACAATTCAGTTCCTCCCTGTTTGTCTATGATGCCCTGATGCCTTTCAATATGTGCCCCTGTGCTGGAACTCAAAGGGAGTAAGTCCAAGTAAGTCTGTGTGTGAGCTCTTTAAGAAGAACTGCCTGGGACTCCAGAAGTTTCTGTCTCCCACAGCCTCAATCCCCACTGACTTTTTATAGCCAGAAGTTAGGGAAACTTATTCTTGGCACTGGAACCCTGGGTTGGGGGCACCTGGTGTGGGGCTGGGAACCCCTCATGCTTGAGAGATCCCTCCCAATTTTTATACACCACACATGGGTGTTAGACCAGTCTGTTCCACATCTATGGCCCTCCTACCAGTCTTGATGTGGTTTCTTCTTTAATTCAATAGTGAGTTTTCCATTCAGCTTGATTTCTGATGGTTATGAATGATAATTGTTCTATAGTTGTAATTTTGATATGGTTGTATGAGGAGGTGAGCTGTGTTTGCCTATGCTTCCATCTTGACTAGAAGTCCCAAACTGCTTTTTATTTCAATAAAACTGGAAAAAAAAATTCTCTGCTTTGCACTGTTTTACTTTTAAAATGTTACATTAGGATTACTGTTTCTAAAAAAAAAACCCTTTACTTTGTATTAAAAATATGTACAGTTTAAGGAAATATCAAAAGTAATGTTCATGTAATCACTATTCAGGACAAGAAACAGAACTTGGACAGCATTCCAAAACCCTCCTGTACCCTCTCCCAGTTACTATCTCCTTCTTTCCCTGCTGAGTTAACACTTAATCCTGGTTTTTCATAACTATTAACTTGGTTTTTTTTTAATGGTTTAACCACCTATGCATTGGAGAGGATAAGTATTCAATTAGTAAAGCAAGAGAGTAGTAATATAATGCAGCATTTTTAAACACTGTATGACTCAATATGCCATTTTAATATTTTATATTTTGTAATGTTCTCTTCACCATTCCAAGATGAAATTTACATGTAAAATTACCTGCTAACATACATAATTCAATTTTTAATATAATTTCCTAACTATAACATAAATGAATAAGTAAGTAAATTTGTAATTAAATGTGTTTTTTATTGTGTAAGTGTTTGGGCACATACACTAGAAGGTAAAGAAGTCAGATGCTTGTAACCTACTTAAACGAAAAGGTTTGCACTTCAATAAGGCAAGAAAAAGTTAAATCTAAATAGAGGGCTGGCAGGTTTTCTTTCACATTTTGTAATAAGGGCAAGATACAAATATTTATGTATATAAGTAGCATCATGTGAATGTGTCACCTACAAATGTCGAGTGATACAGATACGTTGTAGTTACATGATTCAAGTAACATGAGTAATAATTGCTGTTGGTAGAATAACTTTTTGTGATGGTAAACTCACCTTTCAAAGTTTTGGAGGAAAGAGAACATTTTTTTTTCCCACTTTACACAGTAGATGAATTTTTGAAAAAAGATTTTTTCATCAGTATGAATTTTTAGACAAGAATTTGAAAATTTGGTGGGATAAGGACATAATACTTTAGTGAATGGATCTGCCTTGGCATTGCAGAATGCCTAACATCTTGTTCCTCTTTTCCACTGAGTCATAAATGGCAGGCAGAAATACCTGACAGGGACAGTATTACCCTGGGGTTTAGGATCTTTTCATAGCAAGTAAACTACATATTTTTTCTTTTTCTCTGTTTTTGAAGGTTTGTAAAGGTAGATTTTATTAGGTCTTTTTAATCTGCAGGCTTCAGGGGTCCAGGTCTCCCTCCCACCCCCACCTAGTTTCCCTGTCTCACCCTACCCCCAAAAGATTTCATGTAAAATTGTGAATATTTGCCTAGGTATGTTTTTTCTGGGGCACTGTATAACTTTCATTAGATTCTCCAAGGGTTCTATGACCCATAAGAATGGACCAGATAATTTCTTTATTTCCAAGACCTCTTAATAGCTATTAAATCTGGTTATTCTTACATTGATGGTTATCAGTACTTGCTAATTTTCCATTTTAACCCAGAAAATGGCTGAGACTCTGAACTGTCTGCTGTTAGCAACCCTTATTGAGAGGTGTGGTTAGAGAGACACAAAGAAGAAAAAATATCATTCATTTGTTAGATGGGTTTATTATAGATAATTTTACATTTTACTGATAAGGCTAACATATGCAATTAAGAATTTTGTTTGAAATTGGTGGAGTTTTTTTCTTTGAAGTACTGTCTTCATCCTTAACACGTAGTTTGCATTTTTATGACTTGAAGGACAACAATCTATTACTGAAGATTTATTTATAAGCCCTGCTAGGCAATATAAAGTTTAACCCTCAGGTGGTTGCGTGGATGACAATACTCATCCGTGCAAAATAATCGTCAGTTTTCGTCCAAAGTCCAACTTTGTCACAGAAGTTAACTTAGATTATTATCAATAAAAAATGTTTTAAAAATTTGTTCATTTAAATACCCATATTTTAAGTGGATGACCAATGTTGTCCACATGACCTCTCACACTCCATTTGGAAGCGTGACCACTGCAGGGTTAAGTACTATTCCAGAATTCATATGTTTGATGGAAATTAACACATGTTTATTTCTAAATTAGTTTAAAAAATCAGTTATTTTACCTTATTTTGGATAATTGTTTTTTTTCTTTAAAATTGAGAATTATAAAAATTGAATTTAAAATTTGAAAATTCTTCATAATTGTTATGAAATAGAGTATTGTTCAAAATTAAAATTTTGTGAAATGTTTGTTCTGTCATGTTAAAGTCTTAGTTGAGATAGTCCTATAAAAATTTATACATTCTTAGTTATCTGTAGTAATTTTTGGACTTGGAGAATGTTAAGAAATGGAATCTATGCCTTTAAGACTCCTCGTTTTATCAGCAATTTAAAGTGCATCAACAGCCAACCATTTTATGAATGTGTGTGGCAAAATGGACAGATTGGCATTTTCTCCTTTATTCACATGTGCCTGTTAATCAAATGCTGATTAAAAAAATTGCAAGCATTCGGGACTAAAGAAGCAAAGGGTATAAAATAATATACAAATTGAATGATTAACTTGACTGTATAATTAATTAAAGCAAACTGCTCAAAAGATAGTACGTCATTTGTATAGGGCCGGACAAAAGTAGGCTTACTGTTGTGAATACAGGAAACCCAGTTTTTTCTTCTATTTATTAATCATTGTATTATTTTCCATACAAACAACTTCAAACCTACTTTTCCTCATGTATATTGTATATTTCCCCATGTGTATTTCCCCTGTATATTGTATATATACTTTTCCCCCCCACAAAAGGCATACATACCTGTTGATTTAATTGGCTATTTTCACATTAAATTATTTTCTGTAACTGGTCCTCTGCCTTTATATAGTTTCTTCTAATGTTCTCTCATTTCTATCTTCATCCTCTCATCCAGGTTCTAGATCTTTATTTTTTGGAAAATAATTTATAACTCAAACTTCAAATATAGGATATTCATAATTTTTCTTCATAGGATATGAAATAAGTACCTTTTAAAGGGCTTGCACTTGAAATTCCTTTCTTTTCCTCTCATTGCATTAGGCAGATCTGCTTGTTTTATAGTTTTAAAAGATATGCTTACTCTTGTTTATTTAAATAAAAAAAGTCTTTATAATTAGTTGTCTTTGATTTCAGTCTTCTGGCTTTTTAAAATGTAACTTAAGATTGATTGTTTAAAAACCATTTAAAATTGTTTTTGGTTTAGAGGTGTGTGGTTATTGCTTCTCATTGGCACATACTTTTAAGTTTATGCTCTTTCAATTAACAGGTATTTGTTTTATTGTCTAATCTGTAAATCTCTTTAGGCTTTTCATTAGCCAGGAGCAAAAATGGCTGTAATCTTTCTTTTCCCCTCCTTTAAAAAAAAAGGGTTAGGATTTATTTAATTCAGGCAGGACTGGATCACCTGTTTGGATGGATTCTTTTGTGTTGCTAGGATGTAGAACCAAAACTTTAAAACTTTGTATCTAGCTCTGACTGGTGTGTCTCAGAGAGGTGGGTGTCTTTTGAGGAAGCACAATTCCTGGTCAGGGCACAGGCCTGTGTTGTGGGCTATGTGTCTGGGTGGGGGAATGGGAGAGGCAGAAACCCATAGATGTTTCTGTCCCTCTCTTCCTCTCTGTCTAAAAGAATAAATAGAATCTTAAAAAATAAAAACCCCAATGAACTTTGTATCTAGAGTATTTGGCATAGTGGTCATAAGAAGTACTTAACATATGTAAGTGAAAGAATGAAACAAATCTGAGAGAAGCAAGAGCATTGCTGTCAGATGTAGAGTATTTTACATTTGGCTCAGTAAAGTGAATTTGAAGATTGGCACTGGTTTGTACACCATTAGAAAATCCTGGTTTTTTCAGTAGTGTGGTACCGGTCTACTATAAGAATATAATTGTAGATTTATATCATAAATTGAAACTTTCAAAATACTTTTATTTGATAGAAATAATACATGCTCATGTAGAAATTTTTAAAAATATGGTAAGGAATGAACAAGAAAATAAAACTCATTTATAAGTCTACTACTTGGAGAAAAGTACTTAGTCATTTGGTATATTTATGTACAAAGACTTTAATATATACTTCAAATAAAATTGAGGTTATATACATTTAATTTTGAATTCTGTTCTGTGTGTGAAACAATCCAATTAAATTTTTTTTCCTGTTTTGGGTTTTTGAACTTTACAGGCCCCTTCACAGATGTAGTCACTACAAATCTTAAGTTGCGAAATCCATCGGATAGAAAAGTATGTTTCAAAGTGAAGACTACAGCACCTCGTCGGTACTGTGTGAGACCCAACAGTGGAATTATTGACCCAGGGTCAACTGTGACTGTTTCAGGTAGCATATCTTATCCAGAATTTACACAGTTTTGAGTTTTGACATTTTATGGTTATTTTTTATTTGGTTTTAATGAATAGGGTTTTATCTGGTGGGAGAGGCAAGTTTTTGTTATTCTGGCTTTGCCTTTAATGATGTCCTTTTCTCTTACTATATATGATATATGCTCAAATTGTTGCACAAAATTTCTCACCCTTATGTGTGATGGGGTGTTATGTGGTCAATTTATAAGCAATTGTCAATTTAAAATTTTGTATCTTTATTTCTACAGCTCACTACCACATTCCCTGCCCTTACTGTTTTATCTTTGAAATATTACACTATTTTTGTAATTGCTCATTCTTAATTCAGATTGCTAGCTATTGTTACATGTTATGTGTAACTATAGAAGTATTTTAAATCTTTTGCTTAAAATATATAATGCCTCTTTCTGCTGATTATATCAAATTAGATGAGTATTTCTGCTTTTCATTGTAAACAGTGCCCTGCATTTGAAAACATTATTTTCTATTTTCTATTACTCCCTTTTGTGTTTACTTGTAGTGCAGGGAGTATACTTGGTTCCTTCCATGCATGGATTGCTTATTCTTGCTGTGAAATCTGTGCTGATGCCATAATTAATGCCTTCTATTAAATGTTCCTTTCTTTCCTCAGACTTCCCAAGACAGTAGTTTCTAATGATATCATCCAACATCTGAGAAATAGGAACCCAGTGTGAGACTATTTCTTTCTTATGGGAGAACCTCTTAGGCCTCACAAGAGACCATTTACTCTTATTTTCTAGCAGTAGTTCTTAACTCTTACCATGTGTCATAATAACATAGAGAGCAGGAACACATGTGGACCCTCCCAGATCAGAATCTGTGGGGACATGGCTTGGACATGTGTACTTTAAAAACAAAACAAAACATGGTGTTTTTGATAAGCATACAATAATTCTATATCGGTTTTCTGGTTTTCAAGGCCACAGAGGTTAAAAATAGCAAATTATATATAAAGAGTGAGAACCTAGAGGAGACCCATTGAGAGTATTCAGAAGTAGGACCTGACTCAAAGGCAGTAGAGGACAGACTATAGTCAAACCTCTTGATGACCCTAAATCCTCCCTCTGTGCTATAGTCAAAAACTCAGAGCAAGGAGGACCTAGAAAAGATGCTTTTAGTGAGTCTTGTGGTATGGTGGCCTGGGAGGAATGCTTTCTTATTTGTTTGTTCAGGCCATCAGTTCCTGGGGAAAATGAATAGGAAATAATATAAAACAATGCATACATGCATTCTGGAAGTAGCTCTCTAAATCTTTAAGCTAAGTTGGAAGAAAATAGAATTATTTCTATTCATGTGGTTAAAAATAGGTTTTGGTCCTGACTGGTGTAGCTCAGTGGATTGAGCACGGGCTGCGAACCAAAGCATCACAGGTTCGATTCTCAGTCAGGGCACATGCCTGGGTTGCAGGCCACGGCCTCCAGCAACCGCACATTGATGTTTCTCTCTCTTTCTCCCTCCCTTCCCTCTCTAAAAATAAATAAATAAATAATAATAAAAAATAGTTTTTGTTGCAAGCATTTATATCACTAGGAATCTGTAAAACTATTTAGAATGACTTTTTCTTTGAGGGTTCTAGATTGCTGAAATTTTACTATATTAATGTTTTTTAATGTATACTTTTCAAGGTACTTTCTGCCATATAAACCCCTTATACTGAGCACCTGACTTCAGATACACTATTATTTGCATAACATGCCCTCAGATCCCTCTTCTCCAACTAGAACTTAGCTCTTCCAATTTTTAGTGTAGTGCTTTTCCATATGAGGAGTCGCTCAAACTACACTTCCTCCAGCTGCTTTCCCTGATTGACTTTCTGTACTTACATACTCATTTTTTCCCCTCTGCTTTTAGTGTGTGGATGCGCTCTTTCTCTCTCTCTATTTTATATATATATACACACATATATATAATATAAAGATTGTCTTGTTATTTGCAGCCTTGTATAACTGCCATAAAGTCACAACCATATTTGAAAATTTTCTTTTTGCCTAGTTCATAGTGACTAGCCTGTAATGATTGCTTAGTGAACAGTATTAATAGAAACTTATTGTCCTTTTTTTTTCATTTTGGGTGTTTATCCTGTGCATTTTCTGCTGCTATATATTTGACCCTTTAAAAATTTTTTTTAACTGTTGATAGTAGTTGATAGACTTCTCAGACATAGCTTGGAAATAATACTTTCTTAAATAATTGATATTTCTCACATTTACTTAATTGCATTTCCCTTTCTGAAAGTGTTGATGTGCAAGTATATCTTAGAAATAACCTAAATATTAGCATGTAATTGTTGGTTTATTATTAGATTTATATTATGTAATTTAACATAATTTAAAACCACATGGAGTCTCTACAAACCCTCTTTTATAGGCTAATACTTAGAAAAATTTGAATGTAATTATTTGGATGCTAGAAAAGTTCTAGGAATCATGAAGCCATGTGGTTTCCTTGTATATTTTGTTTTCTTAGAATCATGTTTAAACAAATTGATAAACTCTTCTAATGGGTGTTTCTTTAAAATCTGTTTTTTTGAAATTAGTTATGTTAGAACACTAATACATGTAGTGAGTTTTTAAGTTACTTAGCATTTCTCCTTTAGATAACCCAGTTGTCTAATTTTAAGAGGGATTGTCTCTATTAAAAGAAAGCCTAAATTTATAACTAGTTTTAATAAAAAATTTATTAGTTTTAATCCAAACTTGCAGGCATGAAAATAGTTAATGTTGGCAAAGTTTTGAAAACTTTCCTAAACATTAGTCTAGAAGGGAAAATCGGATTGATACTTACCTTTTTTAAATACTCATTTGTTTATTTTGTATCTTGTTAAAGAGTTAGCATTTCAGAAAGGTGGAAATATTTAAGATAATTGGAAAACATAAAGTTGTTTCTGAGTCCTTAATGTGAATAAGCCAGTGTTTGGTTTCTTGAACCCTTCCTGGTTTTCTTTGGACTTGCATACTAGTGAATCAGATGATAGAAATAAGAAGAAAACAAATGCAGAATACAGTGTAATGTGTCCTTTTTTTTTTTCTTATTTAGTAATGCTACAGCCTTTTGACTATGATCCCAATGAAAAGAGTAAACACAAGTTTATGGTACAGACAATTTTTGCCCCACCAAACATTTCAGATATGGAAGCTGTGGTAAGTACAGAAATTGAACAGAATTTGTTTTGAGAAATATTGTTTAAACTGTGGGTTTTGTTTAGTTCTCAACTGAGAAAACTAATTTTTTAAAAAATCCATAAATCTATTTATTACAGATAATGTAGACTGCAAGAATGAAAGAAGTTTGAAATAGTACTTCTTAGAAACAATTTAGAAATGCTATTAAGACGAAAGTCCTGTGATCTCTATAGAGATGTCAGTGTCATTTTAATGGATAGCAATAGTAGCTCTTTTTAGGAGGATTATATAGAAAGTTCTGTGGCATTGCCACATACTTGTGGCAGGGTGATCAAGACAGTGCAATGCAGTGTTGCATCTTGGCTGAGACAAAGACAGCAGCTTTCCTGCTCCTAGCAGCTGTACCAATTCTTTAGTTGTCCCTTCATGTGAAACTTGTTATATCTTCTGTCTCAAGTTTGGTTTTGTTTGTTTTTAGTGGAAAGAGGCAAAACCCGATGAATTAATGGATTCTAAATTGAGATGTGTTTTTGAAATGCCCAATGAAAATGATAAATTGGTAAGTAGGAAATATAAGAAAAATGGAAGTTGTTAAGAACCTCTCAGTTACTTTGAGATTAATTTTCCTTTTGTTTTAAACTTTGTAGGGTGTGTAATAATGGTATTCCACTTTATAATACTCAGTGCTTAGTTTAAAACAAGACTTAATGTGCACTTTTCATTTTAATAGCATTAGTTCAAGAAAAAAATACAGTGGTATGTTGGTACTTGTTAATTCGTTCTGAAACTCGTGATGTGTGCCAAAACTGATGAGTACTGAACAATGAAGCATTTTCTCTTGCAGGGTGGCACTGTGACTCATACAGTTTCTAGCAAGTATCGATGAGTCGTGAGCAAATGCTGAGTGCTGAAACCTTCTTTCTTGTCAAAAGTGATGAGTACAGGGTTTAAGGAGTTCTGAAGCTGATGAGTGCTGGGGTGTGACTGTACTTTTAGATAGAAGCTATATGGTGGAGAAGAATTATTTAATTCTACCAAATTATTGCCACTTAAGCAATTTCAGGTTCTTTTTTAGAATGATACATTTGTAAGTATAAATATAATGAAATTAACAGACATAAACCCTTTTGGTTTATGCCATTTTTTGGCAATTGTATATCAACAGTCTGAGGATAAAAGGTTTAATTTACATGGATAAGCAGTTTATTTCAAATTTGGCTATTCCTGAGTATTTTGCTTGGTATTGATTTTGGTCAAAATCTATCTGATTTCATTCTTTATCTCCTTATTGTAAGTTGTTTATTATAAATATCTTGCTGTCTTAATCTGACTTTATTCTTTAGTGAATAGTTTTTTGTTTTTTACATTTTTTATTTTTTTAATGTTTTAAAATATATTTTCTTGGTATGTTATTACAGTTGTCCCATTTCCGCCCCCTTCACTCCCTGCTGCCCTGCACACTCCCTCCCACTCACATTTCCCCCCTTTAGTTCATGTCCATGGGTCATACATGTAAGTTCCCTGGCTTCTACATTTCCTATACTATTCTTACCTTTCCCCTTTTTATTTTCCACCTACCATCTATGCTACTTATTATCTGTACCTTTTCCTCCTCTCTCCCCTCCCACTCCCCTGTTGATGACTCTCCTTGTGATTTTCATTTCTGTGTTTCTGTTCCTGTTCTAGTTGTTTGCTTAGTTTGCTTTTGTTTTTGTTTTAGGTGTGGTTTGTTAATGATTGTGAGTTTGCTGTCATTTTACTGCTCATATTTTTTATCTCCTTTTTCTCAGATAAGTCCCTTTAACATTTCATATAACAAGGGCTTGATGATGATGAACTCCTTTAACGTGACCTTATCTGGAAAACACTTTATCTGCCCTTCCATTCTAAATGAAAGCTTTACTGGATAGAGCAATCTTGGATGTAGGTCCTTGCCTTTCATGACTTTGAATACTTCTTTGCAGCCCCTTCTTGCCTGTAAGGTCTCTTTTGAGAAATCAGCTGACAGTTGGATGGGAACTCCTTTGTAGGCAACTGTCTCCTTATCTCTTGCTGCTTCTAGGATTCTCTCCTTCATTTTAATCTTGGGTAATGTAATTATGATGTGCCTTGGTGTTATCCTCCTTGGGTCCAACTTCTTTGGGACTCTCTGAGCTTCCTGGACCTCCTGGAAATCTATTTACTTTGCCAGATTGGGGAAGTTCTCCTTTATTATTTGTTCACATAACTTTTCCACTTGTTGCTCTTCCTCTTCTCCTTCTAGGATCCCTATAATTTGGATGTTGGACCATTTAAAGATGTCCTGGATGTTCCTAAGCCTCCTCATTTTTTTGAATTCTTGTTTCTTCATTCTTTTCTGGTTGGATGTTTCTTCTTCATTCTGGTCCACACCATTGATTTGAGTCCCAGTTTCCTTCCCATCACTATTGGTTCCCTGTACATTTTCCTTTATTTCATTTAGTGTAGCCTTCATTTTTTCATCTAATTTGCAACCAAATTCAACCAATTCTGTAAGCATCCTGATTACCAGTGTTTTGAACTGTGTACTTGATAGGTTGGCTATCTCTTCATTGCTTAGTTGTATTTTTTCTGGTGTTTGATCTGTTGTTTTGTTCGGGCCATTTTTTTTTTTTTTTTTTTTTTGTCTTGATGTGTCTGTTATGTAGTGAGGGGTGGAGCCTTTGGTATTCACCCAGGCGGGATAACCCATGTTACTGGGTTGACACTACGTGGGGAAGGGGTCCAAGAGGGAACAATGGTGCTTGCTCCGCTCTCTGCCAGATTTCAGTCACTTCCCCTGCTTCCCACAAGCAAATTAGGCCCTTCTGGTGCTGATTCGTGAGTGGGTGGGTTCGTGTATGTTCTAGGACCCTGTGTATCTCTCCAGTGAAGTCTCCTGTGAGGTTGGCAGTTTCTCCTGCTGCATCAACCCCAACAGGTGTTTTCAATCAGAGGTTTGAGGCTTTATTTGCCTGCACTGGGGCCCTGGCTTATGCAGTCTGCCTGGCTCCGCAGTTGTTCTCCTGGTTTACCTGTGCACAAATGTGGGACTGCCTACTCCACCAGCCTCCACCTCGCCGGTCCACCCACTGCTGCCTTGCTGGCCAGCTGCAGCCTTGCACGCCCTGCCCAGCTCCCCATTCTGCCGCCTCACTGGGTCTGCCAGCTACCACCTTGCTGCTAGTCCTCTCTGCCTGTCTCCGCCCCTCCTACTGGACTGGATGGATGTGTCTTCTTTAACTCCTTGGTTGTCAGACTTCCATACAGTTCGATTTTCTGTCAATTCTGGTTGATTTTTGTTTTTAAATTGTTGTCCTCCTTTTGGTTGTGCGAGGAGGCACAGTGTGTCTACCTATGCCTCCATCTTGGCGGGAAGTCCTAGTAAACAGTTGTTATGTTGCTTCTTGATTAGTGTGAGGTAAATAATTTGGGGGACTGAGGCATATATGTGTGTAATTTAAAAAGTAGTCTTTGAATGTATAGAATGGGTTATGGTCACTTTTGTGTTCTCTTCTGAAATGCAAATTTGAATCTTTAGTTGTAGGCTTGAAAAGTAAATAGGGTTTTTGGGGGGTGACTTAATATATAAAATAATATGAATTAATAGAATTATTTGTCACTATCAGGCTACAAATTGACAGGAATCTCACCTTGATCTGGAGGCTCTTTGCCCTGTTGAAAAGTAAACTTGCAGATTATGTACATGAACTTAATTATTGTGTTACTCTTTCAGGATAAGCTGAAACAAAAAAAATCCCGAATGGTAATTAGGTGTTGACCAAATCATTATCATTATTATTTTTTAAGATTTTACTTTATTTATTTATTTTCAGAGAGAGGGGAGGGAAGGGAGAAAGTGGAAGATAAACTTCAGTGCACGGGAGAAACATCCATACACTGCCTTTCTCGTGCAACTCAGGCATGTGCCTTGACTGGGAATCTAACCAGCAACCTTTCGGTGTGCAGGACAATGCCCATACCACTGATCCACACCAGTCAGGGCTTGACCAAATTATTTACTGCGTTTTTAAGTGCATTTTAAAAGAGATTTTGAGAGATTTGCTCAAAACAAAAAATGTGAATGTATAGGTTCTTACTGGAAAATGAGGGTTAACATGTTTATGCTTTCCTTTTAGAATTCACTTTTTCTTTGCCTAGGCTGTTAGGAAGCCAAGAGCTTTCAAAGCTGTTACTATTAAAACTGAGAAACGTGACAGCACTTGTCTGGGTTGACTAATTTTATTTTATTTTTCTAGTTTTGAGATATAATTGACATACAGCACAGGATAAATGTAAGCATAATGATTTGCCTTTGCACAATGATATTGTGAAGCTATTGCCATAGTAAGCTTAGTCACCATCATCTGATACAAATACAGAAAGGGATTTTTTCCTTATGATGAGAGCTCTTAGAATTTACTTTCTTAACAATTTTCAGGTACACCATAGTGTTAACTGCAATCATTGTACATTATAGCTCTAATTTTTACTTATAACTGGAAGTTTGTATATCTTTTGACCACTGTCATCCAGTTCCTTCTCCCTGTCTCCCACCTATGGTAACACAAATCTGAACTCTCTTTCTTTGAGTTTTAAGAGTTCACATTAGTGAGATCATAGAGTATGTCTTTCTGTCTTGACTTGTTTCACTTGGCAAAATGTCCTCATGGCCATCCATATTGTTGCAAATGCGAGATTTACTTCTTTTTTTTGTATGGTTGAATAATATTCTGTTATATATATGTATGTATCTCACATTTTTTATCCATTCATCTGTCTGCAACTGCTTAGTTTATTTCTGTGTCTTTGCTATTGCAGATAATGCGGTTATTTAAATATGGGGGTACAGATATCTCTTTGACATAGTGTTTTTGTTATCTTCAGCTATATTCAGAAAAGTGGACTTCAGTGGAATAAGGGTTGACTTATTTTAAAAACACGTTTGGATATTTTTTCAGTACTTACATCATTTTTTAACAGTCATTTATCAAACTTAGTTATAGACCTATCTTTCATCTGAGCTTATGTTATGTTCTGGATAGGAGACAATTTGACATTATAGTCTGCAAGGGGCTAGAAGCCAAATATTTAATACTGCTGATCAAGAGTAGTTCTGCTTTGGAAACCATACCAGAAGTTGATGGAAATGATATATCTATGATAGCTGAGCCTAGCCATTTTACCTTATCATAGAGGAGAGTAGCAGATATATTTACATGTAGGTGTAGCCCATGGTAATCCAAGAAAGTGGTTTTGGATCTAAAGGGCTTGAACAAATACCAAATGTAGTCCCCAGAGTCCCACACCATGGAACATGAGCAGAAGTAGTTTGGCCCTGGAAAATTTTTAGACCAGGTATTATTAGTAACCTGAAGTCTGTTCAGTAATTTCAAAGTACTCCAGAGATTCTCTGATTTTGAGCCTGGATGAACTAGCTGCAGAATGTATTTGCATTAACTGATCTATTTGGATTTGAGGTATAGTATTGACTAGTTGTAGGGAATATGTGCTGAAGATAGTGCTTTTTTCTTAACATTTTATTTTGAAAAACTTCAAGCT